GTTTCAATTTGACACTGTTAAACAATTTTGAATTGTTTTATTTTTTTTTATTTTCCTGTCTAGGAAATGAAAATGTCAGCATGAATGCTTCTAAGTCTTTTTCATTGGTGATGTTCAAGCTCACAGCTTCCCACCGTGTATATTTATAGGTTGTTACCCGTTATTTGCCAGGTGTGGACCCTACCTCAAATCGCCTAAAACTTTAAGTTTTTATTTTTTTGTGTTTTTTACTAGTCCCAAGAAGGTTAAAAGACCACGTTCTTCTTTTGTACCACCGATATGTCCTTAAGTATTACCTAGTAGACAGTACTTACTGCCTACACACAACACTGATTGTATTTGACATCTTTTAATTGCATCACATGTGCTTAATGGTTCTAAGTTTGTCTGGAGACGCAAGACTTCAGAGCACTCGGCCTTCTTGCAAAACCAGGACAGTTAATTTGTTTTTAAGAAAGAAGCAAAACTTGAAGAACTAGCCAGGTTACCTTTGTAACTGCCATGCTGCTCATTTGAAAACATTTTAAAAGACATCTGCACTATAACACAGACTGAGAATCAAGGGCTAAAGTGAGGTATGAATGATTGTGTACAGTAATAGACTGTTAATCAGCTAGTGAAAGTACATTTGTTTGGTAAGTAAAACTGGTTGGAAAAAGAGCAGTGCAGTCCTCTTTCTAGTACACTCTTGGTTATTTAGAGCCTTAAAGCTTCTCAAAGACTTGAAAGTCCAGGGTTTTCTCTTCCACTAAAGATAATTTTCTATGAAATCACATACATTTAAATAACATAACAGCTTATTTTTGGGGAAGTTGCTTTCAAACAATATGGTACAGAGGGGGACTGTCAGAATTTACAGGTATGATTTCTTTCTCGTAACAGAATATGGCTCTGTAGTTACTGGAGATGGGCAGAGGCGTGATTGTGAAAGAGCAGACGTTATTTATGGAAACAGGACTGGTCCTAGGTTTTCATGACAAAGCTGATGCTTAGTAGTATGACATTTTGTTTTGTGACAGCTGTCCATTGATCTGTGTTTTCTGGCCAGGGTACAAAAAATACCCTAATTGAAAGGGATATAATCTTAATTATAATTCTTAACACTACTAATTTATTGGAGGTTTAATTTTTCAGGATTATCAATAGGCTTGTGGAAAAAGCATTTCTTTTGTTTATGTATGTTACATGATAAAAACAATGAAAAGGTTGCTAAAGTACACCAAGATTGGAGTCTAAGTGCGTGATTTTCATTTTAAATAGCTTTTAAATAGCTATCTGTCAAGTCGAAAGATTCCGAAAAGTTGCATTCCCTTTGAGAAGTGGAGTGTGCACTGCAGCTAATAACTAGTCTTACAGGAAAAAGTCGAAGACTAACAATTGTAACACCCTAATGGGTTTTCTGTACTAATGCTCTTCAGGTTGAAGTATTTTGTTAAGTTGTTGTACCCTAGTCGTTTTTGTTTCCTTAAATCTTTTGATTTCTTCCCACTCGTTTTTTGTTAGTAAGACATTACCTTACAAAAACTGTAGTTTCTATAAGACATGTTATCTGAAAACGTAAAGCTTTGTTTTTTTATTTTCCAACTACCAACCTCCCTTCAAACTGTAATTAGCTGACAATTTTTGTGTGAGATCCTAATGTAGTGAGAAGTATTAATTGCCCTCTGAGTTTAGAAACTGAAAACTATATGAAAATGAAAATGCATCTGAGCTAAAGTATGAGACCACAGGACCGAGATGCAAATTAATGGGGCTCTTGAATCAGAGATTAGCATCACCTGTAAACTCTGCTCGAGGGATTGATTAGGCAAAACACTCAGAGGCTGTGATGCGAAGTGAAGAGCAGCTTGTCTCATTTCATAATTAGCAGGGTTTACTGGGGAACAGAATTGGTTGATGGTGAGTTTAAATGGAAGTCACACAACTTAGAATAAATGCCAAAATTGAAGAGCCCTATGTATATTACAGTATACACAATCGAGTGTGTTTCAAGTTTCCTGGCTAGAGGCAATGTTGCATACTGGTACTACTTTGTGGGGGCACCTATTCTATTGCAGATCTGACGTCTTGCAAATCTATAGCTTGTGTGCAGTTTTGAAACCTCTGATGATACTGGGTCACTTTAAGTATTGAATGTATTGCAAATCCACATAACATTTCTGATCCTACAGAGAGTTTGATTGGGCTGACTTGTCCCTCTGTACGACTGTCGGCTTCCATTTTTCTTTACTACTGATATACAGAGAAGATTGTTTTACAGGATTAGTAAATGCACTAGCTGAATTTTCAAATATTCTGCGAATAAAAGTTCACTTAGGATAAAGAAGTGAAAGCTGCGTTGAATTTCAAATATAAATTTGCTTTTGCTTTTACTCTTTTACTCTTCCTGCCTTTTCCTTTGTGGACTAACAGATTTTAATGTGTTTTTTAGGAAAACAAAAGTCAAACACCAATAAGAAAAGAATATACTTTGGCATGCATGACAGGTTTATGGTTGTTGGAAGAAAGGATATGAAACAAGTGTCAGGATGATGAAACTATGGAGACTTAAATGTGGGTAGCCCAATGGAAGACCTGCTGAGGGTGGAGGGGCAGGGAATTGGACAGCATTCTAATGGGCTGCAGATTTAGATGGGTCAGCAGGACACAATTTGCCCCCTGATCACGAGTTAAAAATGGAGAAGCCAGCCTAGACTCTTAACATTTTCCTGCACGTAGTTTATGCAAAGCAGGTTTCTACTGCAAAAGAAGAAATCTGTCTAATTGTAGATGTATTTAGGTAGTTGCACTTTTCAAAAGCGATACTGAGACTAAACATTTTTTTTGCCTGCCAGAATAAAGCTCTCTGGATTTTCTAGTATGCTGTATACTGTATTTATATATTGGTGAGTGGTTTGTTTTGATCCACCATCACCACCCAGCTATCTGAAGATTCAAAAGGTTTCCATTTATCCATCTTTTTATCATTTATGATATTCAGATATTACTTTCTGCTGAATAGTAAGAACACATACTATAAGAGTGCATAGTCTGAGATCTTGGAAGAAAATATCATTGTACATTACCATAGTTGGCTAGTTTTGAGCATGCCATTTCTAATGCATAAATATTTACAAATGTTTTTCACATGGAAGTTATCAGCAGCTGTTAATGTACTGCACTTTGGGGATTAGATACGAGATGGTCTATTCTACTGAATGCGTCTGTGCCCACAACATTGCTTAAAATGGATGGAGCCCAGAAGCCATATTTAAATGAAATAAGCTTACCAAGTCAACAAATCCAAAGCCACAAATTTTCTGTTTCAGTTAGCAGTTGCCCCCTATGTCCTTTTGATAGACTTGT